AAGGCAGACGACTAAATGAAATACAAAGATGAAATTAATCTTTTTTGAGGTTGATAAACGGAGACTATAAATGTGGCTCAAAAAATGCCTTTTAAATCTTATGCTGGTTAAGAAATCACAGGTTTATGTGTACATGCAGCATTTTATTCTTCTAACAAGTTCAGCCAAAATGGAGTATGATTTAATGAGGGGATGATTCTTGATACTAAGGATCATGATAAAGTAGGAAAATCACATTGATGAAAACAAAGAAATCCCAACTCCAATCAACAAATAACAGGCCATAAATTGAAGTATCAATGAGGAAAATCCAGAATAGTTAGTGATGATGGTTTTTTTTTTTTTTTGGTTTTTCGAGACAGGGTTTCTCTGTGTAGCTTTGCGCCTTTCCTGGAACTCACTTGGTAGTCCAGGCTGGCCTCGAACTCAAAGAGATCCGCCTGGCTCTGCCTCCCGAGTGCTGGGATTAAAGGCGTGCGCCACCACCGCCCGGCCGTGATGATGGTTTTTAAAGTCTGGTATTGTGCCACATGCCTGTAATTCCAGCACTCAGAAGGCTGAAACAGGAGATTTAAGAATTCAAAGTCAGCTTGAACTACAAAGCCTGCCCAAAGATACAATAGACTAAGAGAGAGAGAAAGGGAGAAATATATATATATATAAAATCTATACATATACTTATACCTATATGGGGAGAGAGAGAGAAGAGTTGACATGGTTCCAAGTATGACAGAAAACAAGATATCATTTCAGAGAGAAGGGGCTATTAAAGGAAGAGAAGACCCAGACCTGAAGTCTGCTAATAGTCCTAAAGGAGATTGGCCTTCATGTGGTTTTGAATAGCAATTCCCTTTCCTCCTCTTTTCTGTGGCTTTGCATAATAGTGATGAACAACACATCCAGTCATGTTAGGAAACCTGAATTCCATCAAAATTTTGACCAGAAGCAAGTTTTTGCTGTACACATCACCATTTCCTACACTGACAGTCTAATGTGGAGACACTGAGGAACAAGAATAATGCCTTTATAAGGAATTGGAGTTAGGGACTGGAAAGATGGTAGCTAAAAGGTCCTCTTGCAGAGAACCTGGGTTTGGTTCCAAGCACCCACATGGATGCTCACAACCATCTATAACTCTAGTTACAGAGGATCTGATGCCCGCTTCTGGCCTCCACAGGCACCAATGAGGGATTAGATTTCCCAATAGACAGAGATAGGCATCATAACTATATAATAAAGGTGGTGAACTTCCAAGATGTCTGGCTTCTTCCTCACCTCCTGACCTGACATAAAAACCTGGAAAGTTCTTATCTTCTTTCACCAGTAGGCCCTCAATGCTCATGGACTGCCTGGAGTGTAGTATGATTTTTTGTTTGTGTTCTGACAATAAAGCTTGCTTGGAGATCAGAGGGCAGAGCTAGTCACTAATTAACCATAGAGGCCAGGCAGTGGTGGCACACACCTTTAATTACAGCACTTGGGAGGAGGAAGCAGGAAGATCAGGAGTTCAAGGCTGCTCTGGACTACATGAGATTTAACCAGTCTGAAGGAGAAACAGAACCAGGCAGTGGTGGTGCATATCTTTAATCCCGGAAGTAGGGAGAATTGTGCCTTTGATCCCAGCACTAGGGAGGTAGAGACAGGAATATAAGGTGGGTGGAGACAGGATCTTCCCCCCATTCAGTCTGAGGAGTCATAGAGACAGGATCACCTCCCTTTTGGTCAGAGGATTCATAGAGGTAAGAAGTCTCTAGTGACTGGATGCTCTGCTTCTCTGATCTTTTATCTTTCACCCTTGATATCTGACTCTGGGTTTTTATGGTTAAGACTAATTAGGATGGCACTTCACTGGAGGACTTAAGGCCAATCAGCCACCAGCCCTAAATCAGGAAAGGAAAACCATTTAAATAGATCCATACTTATCACCTTACACAAAACTCAACTCCAAATAGGCCAAGGACCTTAACATAAGGCCAAATTCACTGAACCTGATAGAAGAGAAAATGGAGAATAGTCTTGAACTCATTGGCATGGGAAAAGACTTCCTGAACAGAACAGCAATAGCACAGGCACTAAGATCAACAATAAATAAATGAGACCTCATGAAACTCAAAAGTTTCTGTGTGGCAAAGGACACCACCATTTGGACAAAGTGGCAGCCCACAGAATTTGAGAAGATTTTTACTAATTACACATCTAATAAAGGGCTAATATCCAAGATCATAAAGAACTCAAAAAACTAAATATCAAGAAAACAAATAACTCAGTTAAAAATGGGGTAGAGATCTAAACAGAGTTCTCAAGAGATGAAACACAAATGGCTGAGAAACACTTGAAGAAATATTCAATATCCTTAGTCATCAGGGAAATGCAAATCAAAACTTCTTTGAGATTTCATCTTATACCAGTCAGAATGGCCAAGGTCAATAAAACAAATGACAGTCCATATTGACAAGGATGTGAAGTAAGGGGAACACTTGTCCATTGCTGGTGGGACTGCAAACTAGTACAGCCTCGATGGAAATCAGTGTGGCAGTTCTTCTGGAAGATGGAAATCGATCTACCTCAAAATCCAACTATACCATTCTTGGGCATATATCCAAAGAACTCTACATCCTATTACAGAGATACTTCCTCAATCCAAGTTCATTGCTCCTTTATTCATAATAGCTAGAAATTAGAAGCAGACTAGATATTTGCCAACTGCTGAACAGATAAAAAAATGTGGTGTATTTTCACAATGTAATATTACTCATCTGTTAAAAATGAAATTTGCTGGTAAATATATGGAGCTAGAAAAAATCATCCTAAGTGAGTTAACCAAGACCCAAAAAGAAAAATATGATATGCATTTACTTATAATGGATGTTAGCTGGTGTGTCTTCAATAAACAGGATATAATTCATACAACCACAGAGGTTAGTTATAGAATAAGGAACTAGGGGCATGGGAAGGATCTACCTAGGAAAGGGAAACAGAACAGATAATTATGAATGGATGGGGGGGAACTAGAATGGGGAGGAGGGGAGAAGAGAGTAAAGGAAGGGACAACTAAAACTAAGGGTCATTTGAGGGGGCATATGGAAAGTTAATAGAAGCTTCTTAAAGTATATACATATGTGAAAGAAATCTGAATGGAATCACCAAATAATGGGGGAGAGAAAGCCCCCACTAGACATCTCTCTCCACCAAATGAAATCTCCAGTGCCAGATATGGGTTACATTTAATTGAGTTGTTGGCCAAAGGGGTCCCATAGAAACCCCCCCAAACAATCTAGGCTATTGTTGAAGCTATTGGTTGCTCTCTAAGAACTGACGGCAAGGCCCTATTTCTGAAGGCAACACCTAAATAACTCGTTGAACAAGGAGAAGTTGAGCTGGTGCCTACTTATAGGCTTCACCCCTACTGACTAGTGATCATGGTACTGGAAGGTACTCTGCACGCTACCAGAGGGGCAAGGTGAACATTGACCTAGCCACAAACCCTTTGATCTACAATGGTGTCCTGCCTGCAAGGTGCACTGGTGCAATAGTGGTACAGAAGTTGTGGGAGTAACCAACCACCATGAGATGGAACCCTTTGTTCAATACTGCTCAGCTGGCCAAGAACCTGTGACTAGATAGGTCATGAACCTAGAGGAAAACCTAATACTATTGTTTTCTCAAAGGAATATAACAATGCAATGACTCCTAACAACATTTTATTAGACTCATAGATCAGTGTCTTGCTCAGCCATTATCAGAGATGCCTCCTCCTGCAGAGAATGAGAACAAATACAGAGACCCACAACTGGACAATGTGCTTTGGAGCACTCAGTCATAAATGAAATATCTCCACCAAAACCCTCCCCTCTAGGCTCAGCAGTCTTCAGAATAGGCAGAAAGATTGTAAGAGGCAGAGAGGATGGAAGCCATCAAGGAAACAAGGCCTTCTAGATAGGGCAGGATGAAAGCACATACGAACTCACAGAAAATGTGGGAACACGCACAGGGGATTCATGGGTCTGCATCAGATGGGGCCCTTAAGCTGAAAGGAGATGTGGACACATGCCCTCATTCCTAACCTAGAAGCAATGCCCATTCAATAAGCACCTGTAAGGGAAAAACTACTTTTTTTAGTGGCGTATCACTGGGTATACAAACCACACTTATGGGCAGGCCCCATGCCCAACAGTAGATGGCCAACACAAAATAAATTTAATGGTATTTCTTAAGGTTTTCTTTTTTCTTTGCCTCATAGTACTTTGTCTAGTTTGGTTTTTTTGTCTTTTTGTCTTTGTTTGGTTTGGTCTAGTCTGGTCTGGTTTGGTTTGGTTTTTAATCTTCCAGGTCTTTTGCTTATATAGTACACACTCCGGTTTTGTTTTACTGGGATTTCTGTGTGTACAAATGTGCATGTTTCTGTGTCAGTATGTATTTCTTGTGCTTCTTTTTTGGCTCTTTTTTTCTCATTTGTTTTGTCCCATTCTGTTTTGTTAGTTTTTATTTTATCTAGTTTTATTTTATAATTATTATTTTAGATGCCTGTTTGTTTTCCAATGAGAGAGAGAGAAAGGGTGTGGGTTTGGTGGGTAGAGGCAGAGATCATCTGGGAGGATCTGGAGGAGGGGAAACTGTAATCTGAATATATTGCATGAAAAAAATTATTTTCAATAAAAATTAAAAATACTGTATTTTTGGGCTTCTGAGTCTCCTGTCTGTTGTGCAGATGGTCTTACTCTCTGTGTGCTGCTGTGTATGAGCATTGCCTCATTTCTCATAAAAGCCTTTCTCAAACCAGCAGTGGCAGCAAGTGCTTTTAATCCCAGCACTTTCGAGGCAGAGGTAGGCAGATCTCTGAGTTTGAGGGCAGCCTGGTCTACAGAGCAAGTTCCAGGACAGCCAGAGCTACACAGAGAAACCTTGTTTTGGACAAAAAAAATCAAAACAATTAAAATAACCTGTTTCTTAATCTCTTGATTTTGCGTTCTGTGTTTGAAAATTTCCTGGCTATTATAGATCAGTGCCAGGGGCACTCAAGCCTCTCAGGAAGCTGTCATTCCAGTAGAGAAGCCTGTCCTTGGAGCTTGAGGTTTTTGTTTTCTTTTTACCTCTGGAAAAAAAAAATGAAGAGATGCAACGAAGTATAAAATCTTAACATATAAGAACTGAGACTCACCCCCACATCCTTCAAATCCTGTCTCTAAATTCTGTCTGTGAACTTTCAGAGAAAAGAATATGGGACCCGTGTCACAGGTCAGCTTTCTTATGGGTGAAATGACACCCACTGATGTGAAGTGGAACTAAGCAGACTAAGTGATTAGAACTCTCCAGAGGAACAGAACCTCTGGAGAGGTAGAATGTAATCATGCAGGGGATTTGTTGAATTATTTGCACAATGGCTTTCTGAAACCTAGAGAGAGTCAGGAAAACCAGCAGCCATTTAGTTCAGCAAGCTGGTCGCATCAGAGCAAATATGTCCAATGATACAGCCTTAGTCTGAGGCTGGTCTGGAAGATGCCTGGAGAACCACTGGAGCAAGTGTTCATCCCAACAGTGAAGGATCTTGCCGAATATCTGAAAGCCCCCATTTCCAAAGAGTCAGCGTACACGTGTTTGTGAATTTTCCCCTCTGGCCACTTTTTGCTCCAGCTGGTATCCCAAATGACTGAATGCTTCCCACCTTCAGAATGGGGCTTCCACCCCAGTTCGCTGACCCGCAGGCCAGTCATCTCCAGAAACACTCTCCCAGACACAGCCAGATGTATGTCTTACCAGTTTTCTGAATGGCTCTCAATCTGGTCAAGTCTCCAAGATTAATGATGACACTGAAGAAGCAGAGAGACAATGACAGCCATGTGGATACCGAGTGACAGTAAATGTTGGCACAGGAGGGTAAGGTCTGGAGATCTACCATAACCTTAAGAATACACAGACTGGGGCTGGAGAGCAAGTTTGGCAGTTAAGAGTACTTGTTGCTCATTCAAATTACCTGAGTTCCATTCTGAGCATCCTTATGGTGGTGCACAACCATCCTTCAATTCATCTCCTGGGGGATACAACACCTTCTTCTGATCTCTGTTGGCACCAGGGATTCATGTAGTATACATACATACACACAGGCAAAATACTCATAAAAATTTTATGAAAAATAAAAAAAATTTTTAAATTTTTTTTAAAAGAGTACATAAACTTGGGACTTTAGATTCATGGTTTTGTGTTGAATTCATCACTGCAGTAGCACCATTAATTAACTCTCTTCGGGCTTCAAGTCATTTTTTAAAAAGCATTGACAGAAGTATAGAGTAGATAATGCTATATTCTATAACCATCGCTATAAGAAGAAAAATCATATACTTATAGTGTGTATAAAGTGATAGAAAATATGTTAAAAGTAATGGAAGGAAGTGTTGACTATTCTCACCAAAACTGTGTTACCATAATTGTTACTTTCTTTTCAAGTAGATAATTCTTTTAAGCTGTAATTATTAATGCATATTAATATGTACATGTTAATAGATTTCACAGTGACCTTGCCACACATGCATATATCAGGCTAATTTCTACTAATGATATCATACATTGTGGTTTCCCAAATGTGACATGCGGGGGCTATGGGACCTGGCTCATACAACAGCAGAGAGAATTAGTATTCCTGCTAGTGTGTCATCTTGGAAGCAAAAGGAGTGATTTCAGAAAGGAAGAGGTCACGGTAGAACCAGCAGAATAATAATGCCTCAATAATCAGCCAAGTTCTATTAAGATAATGAATGCTTCTAGAAGACAGCAGGAGTGGAGAGGAGAGGAATTAAGTGATGAAATGGCACTAACTAGATGTTCCTGGGCTGGGGTTATGAAACAACCTGGGTCAGAACACAGAGGGGGAAAAAAAATCTTAATTTTGTTAATGGAAAGAGTTCTCTTCTCTGAAGCTATCTTTCATTTTGTACATTATTTTCAAAGGTGGGTTTGTTTATGTGAGCTTTGCACATTCTTTTTAAATGCTTATTTTATTTTATGTGTATGAGTGTTTCACCTGCATGTATGGAGGTGCACCGTGGGTGTGCCTGGTGCCTGGAAGGCCAGAAGAGGGCAAATTTCCTGGAAATGGAGTTGTGATGGTTTTGAGCCACCTGTGGGTGCTGGGAGTGGCAACTGCTTTTCATGACTGAGCCATCTCTCTAGCCCCCCACACTCTTATTTTTATTATGACTTTGAGCTGCTATATGGTTTCTCCAAAATTAATGAAGTGACAGTGTTCCATCCAGTCAAATGGAAACCATTAACAGGGAGGGAGTGATGGGGCTGGTGGAAGGGAGGCAGGGTGTTAAAGCTGTCACTACAGGCTCTAAGGCAGCTTTCAGTAGCTAAGGCCCTGACAACAGTGCTCCCCTGGGCCAGTGTTTTTACATCAATGTAGCTGGAGAATTCCTAATCTGAAAACCCAGAATCCAAAATGCTTCAGTCTCTGGAACAATTAGAATGCTCACAAGACAGAAGTAACACAAAACAAAACAAAACAAAAACCTTACACTGAACCTCATGTGAACAATGCAGTGCTGCGGGATGGTCTGTATGTCAAATGTGTTGCTGATTGGTCAATAAATAAATCACTGATTGGTCAGTGGCCAGGCAGGACGTATAGGCGGGACAAGGAGGAGAATAGAGCTGGGAAGTGGAAGGCTGAGTGAGGGAGACACTGCCAGCCACCATGATGAGAAACAGCATGTAAAGATGCCGGTAAGCCACGAGCCACATGGCAAGGTATAGAATTATAGAAATGGATTAATTTAAGCTATAAGAACAATTAGCAAGAAGCTGCCACGGCCATACAGTTTGAAACCAATATAAGTCTCTGTGTTTACTTGACCGGGTTTGAGCGGCTTGGGACTGGCGGGTGAAAGAGATTTGTCCTGACTGTGGGCCAGGCAAGAAAACTCTAGCAACAAATGGTGCCCAACGTGTTGGCAAGAGTTTCAACCTAAAACCTGAGTAAAAAGATTCTAAAACAGAACTAAAAACAGCTCCTAGTTGTCTCTTTCAAGCTAGCGGCAGCCTGTGTGTTTGAGCTGCTATGGCGGGTTCCTGGCGTGCATGCTCCACCTGCAGTATGGCGGGAATGAGGCCTCTGCAAGTGGCACATTAAGCTGTGTGGTGGATTTAGCCTTTGCTAGTACAAAAAAAAAAAAGAGGTTTCTGGGCTACACGCTGCTTTGATAGAAGCATAGACCCACTATTTCTGAGAGTTGATGGCTCCCAGAGCTGGCGGAAAATGTATCACCACCATGTTGGGAAGCTAAAGTGGGCAGAGCCAGCAGCGCCAGCGCCGTTTCAGGCTTAGAATGCTACAGTTCAAAGCAATAGGCTCAAGCTAATATAAAAAAATAAGCCACGTAAAGATGGTTACCACACAGAGAATCTGGATTATGTTCTCTTTGATATTCGTAACTAAAGAAAAACATTTGATTACAAAAGCTGTTGAGTTATGCCAAAATGTATATTTTAAAGGTACCTTGACTTCAACATTTGGATATAAGGATATGTTACTTTGGAAAGGAGACTCTGCTTTTGTTTCCACAGAAAGCCAGAGGATATGGATTTGTTCCAGATTAAGACACATCAGGTTTGACCAGCCAAGACCACCTGAAAGGTCTCCGATGACACCATGGCCCAGATGATCCAACATCCAGAACCATTTCAAGGCAACTGGCTCAGATGATACAGCCTCACGGACTACTCCATGATCCTAAAATTTTCTTTGTTTCCCCAGAAGATACAGCACCCCCCTCCAGCAGGAAGTAGTAAGAGAAGCTACGCCTAAATTCCCAAATATACCAAGCTGACTTTGGAGATGTGTAAAGGTTAAAACCTTCTTTTTTAAGAAAAGAAAAGGGGGAGTGCTGTGGGATGGTCTGTATGTCAAATATGTTGCTGATTGGTCAATAAATAAATCACTGATTGGTCAGTGGCCAGGCAGGACGTATAGGCGGGACAAGGAGGAGAATAGAGCTGGGAAGTAGAAGGTTGAGTGAGGGAGACACTGCCAGCCGCCATGATGAGAAACAGCATGTAAAGATGCCGGTAAGCCATGAGCCATGTGACAAGGTATAGATTAATGGAAATGGATTAATTTAAGCTATAAGAACAATTAGCAAGAAGCTGCCACGGCCATACAGTTTGAAACCAATATAAGTCTCTGTGTTTACTTGGTCGGGTCTGAGTGATTGTGGGACTGGCGGATGGCAGAGATTTATCCTGACTGTGGGCCAGGCAGGAAAACTCTAGCTACAATGCAGTCAAGACGCAGATATGCTGACTACATAACATAAAATCTGGAGTTCAGGATGCAGATCAGTGGTAGAGTTCTTGTCTAGCATGCTTGAAGCTCTACTTTCAGCCTTCAGCACCACAAGCAAAAGAAAACAGACAGTATCAAATTATCCTAAGACCTTGTGGTAAAGTACACATGAAATGAAATGAAATGAACTTCATATTTTAAACTTGAGTTCCATACCCAAAACATCTTACTATGTTTATGATATTCCACAATTCAAAATAATCTGAAGTCAGACATGCTTTTCATCTGAAAGCTTTTTGGATAAGAAATATGCAGCCTGTATTATCTATAAAGGATACACATTATTAGTCTCACTTTGCAAAAGCAGAAAGTAAGTCTCAGTGGGGTTGACTTGCCTGAGTTATATAACCCCAGGATACTCAAAACTTGAGCCAGGGACTCGCATACCCTTAATTTCCCAGGGGGACACCAACTGTGACACCAGCACTTGGTCCACAGAACCTTCTTCCGTGGAAGAGTCTCAATGTTCACTGGACATACTGTTCTCCATGACTCTCCAGCAACAGGGTGGGACTTCCATCGCCGACATCTTCCCACAGTTGTCCAGCATTGTTTTCCCCTTACTGTTTCCTGACTGGAAAGGAAAAACTATGGCTGTTAAATGCTGCCTGGTGAAACAGACTTTCACAAAGTGGCATCCCTTTGAAGGCTAATGTGTTTCCCATCTCTTGAAAATCAAAGAGGGCCTGGGCAGTGGTGGCACATGCCTTTAATCTCAGCACTCGGGAGGCAGAGGCAGATGATCTCTGTGAGTTTGAGGCCAGCCTGTCTACAGAGTGAGTTCCAGGACAGCCAGGAATGTTACGCAGAGAAACCCTGTCTCAAACAAAACAATAACAGCAATAATAACAGTAATAGTAATAGCAATAATAATAATAATAATAACCTTTTAAAAGGCTGTTTTCTCTTTTAATTATGTTTATCTTGGTACCTAACCTCCTTTTGCTGTTTACTTTGTGGTTTTTCTCTGGCTCAGGGAACATTTGTTAAAGCTGTATATTAAAGACTCGGTGCCACAAAGGCTACAAAGATAAAACAACTTGGACCACAATGTAATGCAAATCTTCTGAAATAATGGGGGGCAGAGGGCATCAGGGAAGTAGAGGAGGCCTTAGAGAATAAGAAGTCACCTGAAATTGAGGTAGAACCAGACACCCAGGATGTGAACACAGAGATGTGTAGAAAATAACAGGAGTTATAGGAGTAAATGTGGAAAAAATGGGAGAGCATGTGGTATGCATAGCAAACTGTTTTTGTATTTAGACTGGGTGTCTAGTCCATTTGTACATATTCTAAAGTAAGACTGTTATTTATATTTTTTAATTGTTGAGGGGGAAATATTGAAAGAAAACTTTGACTTCTAAAGATAAATTGTATAAATTTCAGATTTTAGGGTTCATCATAACCCTATTGCTATGCTATTGATGCACAGCCACACTCACTGCTGAAAAATGTCTCTGGCTATATTCATACCAAAACAGCAGAGCTGAGTTCTTTGGATATGGGTGTAGAGCCTACCATATTTACAGAAAAGCTCGCTGGTTCCTAATTTAGAAGAAGCCCACCAGAAAACAATGGGAAAGTTGTGCTGATCCAATTGCCCATCTGACCCTTGGTAACAGTTCCGTTCTTGACTTTGCCTAATATTGCCGCACCCATCTGTGCGGACCTTTTCCAAATCTCACTCTCTCAAGGGTTATTTGCTAATTATCTGACAGCAATTTTGCAGTCCTCCTTAAGCTCTGATGGAATGATAACCAGTTAGTGTTAACTCTGCCACCTAGGTTACACTGGGCAGTTTAGAGAACCCGAAACAAAGAATTGCCTGAGGTTTGCAAATTAAGCCTTTCTTCAACATTTGTCTCATGATATAGGCAGCTAGTTCTCACACCTACCAAAAGCGAAGTTCTGTTGATTTCATGATTACCTCTTCAGTTGGTTAGGTTAAAAGGGAGCCATTTGCTGCAAAACTGTGCCTTGGGGAGGAAAAAAATGTCAGGAATTACCTGTCAATAATTGACAGCTATCAGAAAGAAGTGAGCCTGTGCTTGCCTTTGGTTAATGAGGGAGCTTGGCGTAGCTGTTGTTACTCTGGAGCCTTTTCATGAAGGTGAAACCAGCTTCTGGATGGATTGGAGCTGAGATTAGAAATGTCAGGTGCAGGGTTCTCTAACTTTAACACTGGGAAGAATCACCAGGGAACCCTTCTAAACTACAGATGATCTGACCTCACACCCAGAGAGTCTGTGGGGTACGGAAGGCAGTATTTCAAAGGAACTAAACTGTGATTTATACTCAGGCATATGTAATTTCTTAAATGAGCCAACAAAAAGTATAGCTCATCATAAGTCTGGGCTCACTAGATACATATACACATACGTGTTCAATCTAGTAACTGTTTTTAACTTTCTTGGATTATTAGTTTGTAAGGGTTGGCCAGTTTGCCCATAGACTGAAGGTGACCTATTGCTATTTGGGGAATACAATTTTATTGGCTATGGTGATATTTTTCATCCGTGGCTGCTTTGTGCCTCAGTGGTAGAGCTGGTGAGTTTAAAGGCAGACATGCTTTGGGCATAGAGCTCTGAAATGTTGACTATCTTTCTTTGTGCAGAAATATTTTTCTAAGCTGTGGTTTACACTCTACAAACCTCCTTTTTGGTGCTATCCTCACAAAGAACATTGTGGATCCCTTTCCCACTTCAAGAGGGGTAATTGTAATCTGCAGCAGCAGCTAAGGATAGGCATATAGACATTTCTGTGACACTTCTGCCAAGAGACAATACAGTCAAATCCTTTTCTCCTTCATGATTTATAGTCTCTCTTCTTATTGTTGTGGATGTTGCTCTGTATGCTATGAATGTGTTGTTCTGATTGGTTGATAAATAAAATGCTGATTGGTCAGTAACCAGGCAGGAAGTATAGGTGGAATAAGCAGACAAGGAGAATTCTGGGAAGAGGAAGATGCCAGCCCACTGTCCAAGGAGCCACATGTAATGGCACATGGGTAAAGCCACAGAACATGTGGCAACATATAGATTAACAGAAATGGGCTGAGTTTAAATGTAAGAGCTAGTCCACTGAGCTAGTAGGTCTGAGCTAATGGCTGAGCAGTTTTAATTAATATAAGCCTCTGTGTGTTTACTTGGGTCTGAGTGGCTGCAGAATGGGCAGGACACAGAAAAACTTTCAGCTACATCTTATTCTGTCTTAGGAGATGGATTACAGAAAGGAAAGGGGACTAGAGCAGAAAAAGAGAAAAATGCTACTTTTGCTTTCAGCTGATTTAGGTTTAATCCTCAAAGAGGGAAGTCTAAAAGGGGTCATTCAGCTTCACAGCTCAGGGCCGGCATTGAGGTAGGGCTGGGAAGATGGAATGAGCCTGCCATTGGCAGCCATTGTGTCTTGTTTACAAGCTCTCTTCAACTGAGAGAATACTAAAATATTATGACATTTCCTTCTCATACAAATAGAATTCCCTCCATTGCCTTGTTCTTCTGGAGAGTTCTTTTTCTATATGTTATGGACTAAATTGTGCTCCCCCAAATTCATATGTTAAATTCCTAAAATCCAGCACTTCAAAATGTCACTGTCTTTGCAGATAGACATCCTGAATGAGGTACCTAATTGAAAACAAGTTTGTCAAGCCCTAATTTAGTATGACTGCTGTCCTTATAGCCCTTATAAGACATAAGGGTATGTAGAGAAACTACTATGTGAAGGCCCAGGCAGAAGGCAGCCATCAGAAAATCAGGGATAAAGACTACCAAAAAAAAAAAAAAAAAAAAACAGCCCTTGATTCCAGACATCTAGTCTCTATAGCGGTAAGAAAGTTAGCCTCTTTCTGAGGCATCCAGTCTATGCAACATTATTGTGGCAGCCTTAGTTATTACTCTACCATGGTATATCAGTACTGTATATGCTATGTGTACTGTACTGAATGAAAACTGTACTCCATGTAGTACATTAATAAGTACTCCATGTAGAGCCTTTCTACAAATGAAGAAGAAGCATGCTGTATCTATGTCATCTTAATTATCCCGTCTCCCATCATACAGTTCACCTTGGCTCCACCCCCCCACCCCCCCACATATACATATGTATGTATATGCTTTTGTTTAATTATGGAGGGGTATTGCATGCCACAGCAAGTGTATGGAGGTCAGAGGAAAACTTGCAGGAATTTGTTCTTGTCTTCTACCATGTGGGTCCTACAGATCAAATTTGGGTCATTAGGCAAGCACCTTCACCCACTAAAACATTTCACGGGTCATTGGATATACTATCCAAGTGTTTCAACCTATTCATGCAACAAGCGCATTTCTAGGTTGCCATTTTGCCAATTTTACTACCCCTTTCCTGACTCTGCTGAGTGCCCTTTTGTAACCAAATGCAAGGTTTTTGAGAGTGCTGGTAAAATGCACCAGGAGGTAAAAAGAGTCAAGAGGTTGATTGCTCACAACGAGAGAGCCCTGGGATTCATTCCACATACGTATTTCCCAAGCAAGGAAAGCTTCATGAAGGCTTGAGAACTCTAAGGAACTGTTCAAATGACCAGGGCCTGTGCCTTGTCTTCTCTGGCTCTTTACAGCTTTCTCTCCATCAGCATCGACTCTCTGTTCTCTCTACTTCTGGTCTATCTTTTGTTTGGGCACTGGCCACTCTCTTGAACTGTTCAGCGGCTTCTTCTTCAGCTGCCAATAACCCACCGCCTCACCACGTCTGCACCCTTGCCTACCGTCCACTTGTCTCTCACTTTAGCTAACAGGCAGCAGCTAGCTGCCTGGCTGCTTTTGCAGGCTGGCCTTCCAACGGCTCAGCTATTGCAGTCACTGACACTCCAGCTCTACCATTGCTGCCACTCGATCATCACGTCATCCTGCATCATTAAAGGCAGACAAGAAAAGACCACTTAAGAGAGGCACAGGGGGCATTTAGACCAATCATGGCACACTTTATATACAGATGTAGAGTTATGCCTATGCCGATCATGGTCTTGCCCCTTTACCACCAATCATGGCAGTTCCTTTGCTAGACCACCAGAGGAGGTTTCCTTCTCTGTCTTACACAGAAATGGTTGCAGGGTCCCTTTGAGTACACTAAGGCTTATGTTAGCAGAAAGTCTGGTATAAACTGAGACAGCCCTGGCTGAGGTTATGCCTTCAGAGGCTGGAGCCCTCAGCTGTGATCACTGAGTGGGTTTACAAGGCATCTGTGGAGTGTTCAAACTACTGGTCCTGGCATAAAGGTCCTCTATATGGCTGTTCCACTGGTAGTCCTTTGTTCAAGGTAAACAAAGAATCAAGGAAGAGTCCAGCAGTTGCTAATTAAGAGGTCAAATTGCCCATTCTCCAACATCTCTGCTCGTTTACAGGAAAATACACATAAGAAGGAGTGCTCACAGTAAAGAACCTATAGCTAACACTAATGATGATTTTAATGGATTTCTAACAGTACTTAACACCTACCCAGGGTCCAAGTTAATACTCCTGATTCACACCTCCTTTACGGAGCAAGGAATTGGTGAAGAAGTATAGAATGTAATGATGATGTCTGGTTGCTTCTAGCCTCTCT